GAGGGAGGGGGAGGGAGAGAGAGAGAGAGAGAGAGAGAGAGACACAGACACCAGGGATTTCTGACTTCTCTTGAACAATCCAGTAGATGAAGCCACATTCTGCCCTGGGCTCTGTACTCCTTCAACTGCCTGGCCCTAGAGGACCTGAGCAGTGGAACAGGAGGCAGTGACCCTGGGCAGGTCACAACAAGGCTTGGAGTGCCCAGACCCTTGAAACTGAAGGCAGATACTGCAGAAAGGGTTGGAAAAGAAACAGAGTGGGTTCCAGCCGTGCACCCAGGAAGAGGGTATTGCTTCCACGTGCACATGAGTGATCACTGGCCCAGGCTGCTCCAGGCAGCAATGGAAAACAGATGCAAACCTTTAGTTCCACCCCAGACTTGCCTTGAGAAGACTCAAGGTGATAGGTGTGCACACTCTTATCCTAGAAGCCTGCTCCAACACACCTTCTCTCACCCTGAGTTGGACCTTCTGAGTCACCCTGGAACGTGGGTGGATCAGGTATAGCTTAGGAAACAGTCTCCAGGTAGTCCAGTGACCTGCCCAAGACTGAGCTAGGAAATAGTAAGAAAGGCCTCAAAGCACAAGTAACTCCTCAGCTAGGGCTCATCTACTCACACTGCCTGCTCTCACAGCAGCCAGGGCGCCGGCACATGCTTCCCACCCCAAGGGTGACTGCCCAACTTCGAACCTAAACCCTCAGTGCCTCAGAGACCAGAAGGGCACTCTGTGCCTGGTTCACTCCAAATAGGAGAGCAGAGGTCCATGGGATGGACAGCATCCAGGGTGTAGCTGGGTGGCCAGCAATACCAGCCCAGGGCTGACGAATGGTAGGAATTCAGGCAGTTCAGCACCGAGCCCTGAGTGCAGCATCCCCTAGGTGCCTTCCTTGCATACAGGAGGTGCTAGACAAGAGGCCACCAAGGCTCCACGTGATCTACCTCTCCCCACTGGCAGTGCCAAGGCTGTTGAGCACCTTCCTGCCTCAGGACCTTTGCATGGTTTCTCCCTGCCTGGCACACACTGTCCCACTCTCCTCACTGCTGTCTTCCCTTGGTGCCCACCCTCTCAGTGAGCACTTCACATCCCTTGGACCTCATGACCCCTCTCACTCAAGATGTGTGCCCCTGCTGTCCCTCTGTGGAAGGAAGTCAGAGGTCCTTCCCAGATGTTTGTATGCAAGCAGCCTAACCAAGAGCACAGAACAGAGAAGCACCACAGCTCTGGTGGACAGACCATTCAAGTCCTAGATGTGGAGGGCAACAATAGAGTAAATGGCACCAGGTTGGCCCCATCCCCAAGGGAGAGAACAGAACTCTTCCTGTCTTCATGGCTTTCTTCCTCAAAAAGATCTCTTATTAGTCTAAATCAGCACTTCTAAATCCCCCAGAACTCCCTCTGGACTTCTTAGCAAAGAGATTGTGAGCACCATCATTATCCCAAGTCTGACTGAGCACAGGTCTGGGTAGGCCTGAGCATTTCGCCTCTAACAGATTCCAGTGATGCTGTTGCTGCTGGTCCAGGACAATACACCCACAGACAGACATGCATGCATACATCTACACACATTCTACTTTGTATGTATATTCCAGATTCCAGGGGGCTTTCTTTTCCTTATAGAGACAGGAGTGATCAAAGACACCTGCTAGCTCTGTAAGACAGGTGGCACCACCCTTGCTAGAAGGCAGCCTGCAGTCATAGGCCAAAGCCACTCTCCAAAGTCCGGTCCCTGTCCAGCCACTCACTAACCAAAGATGATCCACCTGTTATTTAATCTAAATCTCAATTTCCTAATCTGTAGTGGGGGTAATGGTTCCTGACTCTGGGCGTGACAGCAGAAATTAGATGCCACTGGAGAGTTTTCTGTCACAGACTCAGATGGTATGGAAGTGTTTCCAAGGGAAATACAGCGCACAACTCTCATGGTTGACACTCAGATGACACAAGCTCCCAGAAAAAGCAAAGTGCAGGGTCTGGGTGACAGTGGCCCTAAAATGCCACGTATATGTGTGGTTCCTGCTATTAGCTCAATTGCAAGGAGAAAAAGAAAGAAGAGAGTGAGAGAACGAAGATGAAAGGAATTCTTACTTCCTCATGTTTAGGAAAAAGTGTCTCCACCCAAAGAAATGGGCAGTGGGACAAGAAAATTCCAGTTCCATGCATTTCCAAGAAGAGCTGGGGAAGGCCCTAGTGAAATTTAAGGTTCCTATCTCCTAATTCAAGCCTTTTCCAAATTTCCTAGCACACAATGATCTCTCCCTCTCCATCATTCAGTGGCCTGCACCATTTAACTGCTTACTTATTCCACCCAGTGGTCCCCATTCTGGGACACAATGATGGCTCTGCTAAACCCTCCTCCATCTGGGTCACAAGGTCCCTAAGATTCACTTATCATAGGGGTGGCGTGGAGGATGACATCACAAATCTACCCTTAACAACTGTAAAAGCATTGAGCAAGTTACCCCAGTGTGGATTTTCCCATTTACTGATTTGTGGGCAAATTCTACTTTACTCATTAGAATGTAGGCCCTGTGCCATTTGGGGCATTTCCTGCACTGTTCATCACTTACATGAATTGGAACCTTTATTTCCACATCTGTACAATAAGACCACCAACCACTTCACATTGGTGTCACGACAATGAGATGAGAAGAGGCGCCATCATGTTAACTTCAGTGCAGATCTAACATAGAAACACAGCTCTGCAAATAGTTAAACAAATGCCTACTGGTGGTTCACAAGTTTGGGGCTTTGTTTTTTAAAAAAAAGACTACAAGAGGGTTATTATTTCTGTTATAAAGATGGCATATACTTACATAGGAATTTTCAAGAACTCCTGCTGTCTGTGGTTTAAATACATCCCTCCCTCTCCCCAACTTTAAGTAAACCTACATACAGAAATCTAATTTTAATTTTTTTTTTTAAAAAAAAAGGGAGTTGATAGTCAAAAAATGATTCGCAATGGGTTTTCTTTAAATAGAAAATCTCTCTGGCATATTTTAAAATATTACATCAGTCGCAAAAATTATATTTGCCAACTTTCCAGAAACATCTGCTCTTTAAAGTCAGTCATACCTCTGACAACTGGGGAGAATTCAGTCTCTTCTACAGGATCTTGTTCCTAAGACCTGGGGTTATATTTTCATTCAGAATTCCTTGAAAGACCTTAGACAAGTTAAAAGTACTTCAATCACTGAGAGATAAGTGAAGCACATGAATGTAGCATCATGCCATTGTCAGTGTGTCTGCCTTCTAAATTATTTCAGGCACGTCATAAAGAAGAGAAAGGACAGCAAAATGGTTCCCATTGCTGCAACTAATGTTCCAAAAAGCATCCAGAAACTTCTGTGTTTAATGCTTAGTTAAATACAGTTTCTCTAACCCTTGCTTGAAAGTAAAAATACACACTTTTTAAAAATCAGACTCAGAATTTGGTGTTTAGAAAATAGAGTTTGTGTTTTTTGAAAGTAACACATGTAATAGTATCCCTCCAGTTCCACATTTGCAACTTCCTGATATCTTGAGTTTATATGCCACAGAGCAAAATATCTATTGAGCCCTACAAAGAACAGAGTCATATTTCAAAGATTGGAAAAAATCTTTTTTAGATCTTGGCTTTCCAAAGAACCTTCTGCAAAGCAGTTTTATTTAAAGGTAATAGAAGCAAGTCACTAAATGAGGTGGTGACTCTTCCTCCCCTGCCCAGTGGGCCTTCTGACATCAAGACCCACCTAAAGACCTGGCTACTATCCCAGAGCTCCAGATGGACTTTGATGTTGGCCACCTGCATGCCCTCCTGACCTGTTTCCCACCTGTCCCAGGCTGATCAGACACAAGCCCACGTGGTCCTGTTCAGAGGAAACAGCACTCTCAGCAGCACTGCCAAAGGCTAGGCTTAAGGTCACAGTCCCCTACCCCATCCCCAAAGGATTCAAAGACCTGGCTACTATCCCAGAGCTCCAGATGGACTTTGATGTTGGCCACCTGCATGCCCTCCTGACCTGTTTCCCACCTGTCCCAGGCTGATCAGACACAAGCCCACGTGGTCCTGTTCAGAGGAAACAGCACTCTCAGCAGCACGGCCAAAGGCTAGGCTTAAGGTCACAGTCTCCTATCCCATCCCCAAAGGATTCAATAATAAAGAACAAAGGCTAATAATTGGAGTGAGTAGGTACAAGTTACATGCTAAAAACTGTGTAGAGAGCTTTTCTCGTTTAATGCTAATGACAGTCCTAGGTGTCCCCAGGCCAACCACTGCTGGTCAGAAGGAACCTAGCAGCTTTCTGAGGTGGTGTCTGTGACCTCTGGTCAATGATGTTCCCTCCACCCAGTCATCAAGCTGTGAGAAGCTCTGTGTAGGTGCTTTGGGCCACAGTTCTAGCTGAGTTTAGCTTGAGTCATCCCAGCTCAGGCCCCAGACTTGGGAGTAAGAAGCAAGCAGATGACAACAGTCCCAGACTTAGATAATGGGGAGTGGAAGAAAGCCATTCCCATGGGGCCCTGTTCAAAGTCCTGACCCACAGAACTGTGAGAGTAATACAATGTTTGGGGCCGGTAAGATATGGAACAATAACAAGGAGAACATTTTCCTTATTGAACAGACAAGGAAACCCATGCAAAGAATAAGAAGAAAGCAAGGATTAAGACACAGGTGGGATTCTCAAGGTATACCCAGAACGACTAAGGTGTACTATACCACCTATCTATCATTTCTGTTTCTTTACTAAAGTCATCTCCATTAATTCTAAGTCTGCTCATTTAGAAGTGCCTTCGTCCACCCTAGCATATAGGTCAATGGCAGTCAACCTTACATGAACATCAGAAGCACTGGACGGCTTGTAAACATAGATGGCAGAGCCCCACTCTCAGGGTTTCTGATTCCAGGGGTCTAGGATAGGGTCTGAGAACTTGCATTTCTTAAAAGTTCCCAGGTGATACTTGATGCCCCTGCTCTGGGGACCACAATTCAAGAAGTACTGGTATAGATCTTCCTGAAGGGGTAATCAGAGTTTCAAAAGTTGACGCCTTTTTGGGACAAGCCATCATCACACTATCACACAGACAGATCAGGCCAAAACACCCTCACCATTCCACAGCTTTCTAGGGGTCTCCCAGGGCTGCTATGACCTGGTCTGGACGTTTTTATATCATCACCTCTGTGGTTTGCAGACGCTGACAAAGGGCAGAGATATTTCTGACAGATGAGAGGGTGGGCATACACATTACAGGTGAGAATGCTGCTGAAAAGCTGTTTTCCCACAAGGCAGTTTCTGAAGAACCATTTCTGGCAAAATAAGTCAAGGAAAAAGGCACTTCTGCTAGCTGACCACATGCTGACCCTGACCAAGTGAGGATTAAGAGGCCCTTGCTGCCTGCCCAGTGAGGTCCATCTCCAGTGACTTATCTGAAAGTGAGAGACTGCAGGTTTGCTCAAGCCAACCCTGATCATTCATGACAGCCTCAGACCTCCCAAGTCCCAGTTGGCTTCCACAGCAGCTGCACATTTTCTGCCCTCTCTTCTGTGAGTTGCTCTCTTCTCTTCAAGGGCACTGCCACCAACTCTGCAAACCTAAGGGTTTGGTTTTTTTCCCCATTTGTTTAAGGACACTTGCTGCTGACTCATTTTTAGAGAAAACACTTATCTAGTAAGTAATTTTGATTAAGCCAGCAAAGTAGTATACAATATGGGGGGGGGGGGGGAGGAGGGAATCTGGTTCAAAATTCCCTTGAGTTTCTTTGAAAAATAACTACAAGATACTATCTATAATTGTATGGCTATTTCTAAATATAATAAATTAAAATCACTACTACTTATTGATCACTAAAAAGTGCTGGGCCTATTCCACACCTCGGACACTGTCCTCACAATTAGTCTAGCAGGAGGAACATATTATCCCCAGTTTACAAATGAGACAGGTTCAGAGGAGTAAATGGTGGAGTTGTGTGAGACGCCTATCTCAAAGTTCAGGTCTTGGCCAGAACCCTGCCATGAAGATCTGCAGGTCTTTCCCTGAAACACTGCCCAGACTCCACCTAACAGGGTGTGCTATCCTTCCTGACAGCGAAATCCCTCTAAGCACCCAACTGGCTGCAAGTCCCCTCCGCCTCAGGCTGCCCACATCCAGCCTACCCTGCCTGGCTGGACACTGCCTCCATTTCCTGGACCTTTTCTCCTTGCTGCCTGGAGGCATAGTGTAATCTCCCCCACCGGCCCAATCTCAAATCTTAACAAAAGAGCAGTATTGACACTGGTGGAGCTGGTTTCTGGGATCTCAGTGAGAACCAGGTCTAAAGCAAGCCCTAGGTCTTTGGGGCGGGGGCAGGGGAGAGGCAACTGAAACTGAGAGCTGAGACGCCCCGCCATTCCTTCCTTCCTGCCCAAGAGCAACGAGATAAGTGATTCCAGCTGCTTGTCTGGGGTGTTTTCCTCCTGGCCACCTGCCACAGCTCGGTTTGTTTACATGGGCACTATTTCTTCCCAGGCCAGTCGCTGGACAGGCAGCTGGTGTTGACAACAGCCAGATGCTTTTCGGTTTTGCCTCCGGCCTGTGAGATAGGCGCGGAGAAGTCCCGACTCCCGGGCGCCCGGCACACTCCACCCCAACCTGGCCCGGGTGTCCCCCGCTGCTCGGCGCAGGATTGCGCTCCACGGGGCGGTGGAGCCACGTGGTTAAACTTGAGAGCCCACCATTGGAGGAGCCCCTGGAGCCAGGCCAGAAGCTGACGACTCCAGCTCACGCCGGGCCAGGTCTCCGTGGGCAAAGGCTGGAGTGGGCAAGGCAGGGTTGGGCTTGGGGTTGCAGCGGGAGGAAAGGTTGGAGCCTCTAGGGCGGGTGTTGACGTGGCCCACGAGGCTGCGATCCGCCTGGGGCTGCTGCGCCGACCGGGTTCTGTGAGTCCTCCCTGGAGGTGTGAGTTGGGGGCGCCCTGGGTCCCCGCAGCCCACTCACCAGATACGTTTAGCTGGCCTCCCAAGAACCAGGCGATCTTGCCGCTGCTGAAGTCGCAGTCCCAAACGGTGTGGTAGGGAGTGTCCCACAGCAGCGTTTCCCGCGCCAGCGGCCCCCAGAAGGCGGCTGGCTGCTGGGCCGCCTGCACCCTCAGCATGGGGTACGAGGCGGGCTGCACGCCGGCGGCGGGGACGCTGCCCGAGGGCCCAGAGGCCGCCCTGCGGAGCGCGCTGACCCCGGGCGGCGGCCACCCCCGCGGTCCCGCGTGCCCTGGCAGGCTGCCCAGGAGCCTCCCGACACCGCAGCCCAGGCTGCGAGCCGCCATCTCGCCCCACGCCTCCAGGCCTCTGTGCCCCAAGCCCGGCGGCGAGCGGGAGGCCCCTTTGCTCTCCACGGGCCCCGCCCCGTCTCCACCCTCCTGCCACCACCCACTCCCCAGGCCCCTTCCCGGCTGAAGCTGCCTTCCGGAACCGGCCGGGTCCACACCCCCTTCCTCTTCCCCTGCCGCAGGGAAATGTGTTGCGAAGGAGGAGGGGAGCGGCCTGGGGCGGGGCTCCCGCGAGCGGGGCCGGAGCGGGGTCCCGACCCTAGAGTTGCTGCGAGGCAATCGCATCGTTTACTCTCCCTCCCCGACGCTGGACATAGGGCCACTCGGTTTCAATTTGTATATCTTCAAATTCCGACAGCTCAGCCACGCAGCGAATAGCAGACACGTGCGTCGGGAAGGCGGGCGGGGCTGGGCACCTGGAGCAGTCTGGGTCGGAGGAAAGGAACCTGCACAAAACAGAAGCTACTGATGCTGCAAAGCACACAAGTGGGTCTGAGTATCAAAGTTAGGTCGGTTCAGAATCTCAGACTGAAGTCAAGGTATTAATCCAATTGTATGCCTTTATCCTCTAGGCTGGCCTGTACCCTCTCGTACACATACACAAGTAGTCCCCGTGGGCTAAATGGGCTGATCAAGGGACCACAGGCTAGGAGGATGTGGGGACCTAGGACTGTGGTCTGGGGTCCAATGCTCTTATAACCCAGCTGCCAGCCTCAGCCGCGGCGGGAGTCCCCTCCTGCCAGGGCAAAGTGTAACAAAAGCAACGTTCCACTAACCTCAGCTGGTTTGAAACCATGGAACCACAGGCGTTTTCTCCAGTTTCTCCAGCCTCAGTGGTCATTTCTAGCTCTGCTACCTTGGGCAAGTTCCTAAGCCTCTCTGTGCCTCATTTTCCTTTTCTATAAAACGAGAGTAATATCTCCCTCCCCTACTGAGGAAAAGAATAAACGAGATCATGTCTGAAGTTCACTACTTGAGGTGGTGGTCGTCTTGTCAAGCCAAAAAGGATCGAAGGAAACTCATAGAAAATTGTCTCGACCGAATTCTTAAGTATTTCAATACCCAGAAAGTAAACACATAATAAAAAAGGTAAACACGGGGCGGTGGCGGGGACGCGGGGAGGGGAGGATACTTTTGAAACTGAGTGGTTGAGTTCTTTAGGTTTGGGAAAGATTCCACCTTCTTGACTGTGAAGTCTGCAGAGGCGAAGTCCCTACCATTCCATTCCAAGGAGCTTCCGCTCTCAGTCAGCTCCAGGCCGTTATTGAATGCCTGCTTCCTGCCAGAGAAGAAAGGATTTTTGAGGCGGGGGAACCAATGATAATAGCTAGCATTAAACATGTGTCCTGACCTGTGCCAAGCGCTTGATCGGCATTTTTTACTTAATTTAAAAATTATCTAGTGCTATCAACTCCCTCCCATTAACCCCTAGTAGGAGAAATAAGGAGACTGAAAGCAAACTAATCAATAGACTTACTGAAAAGCAGCACACGGGCTGACGGGGAGCAGCACCCAGTACCCTCCAGTCCCCCATTCAATATCAACTCACTGCTTGGCCTGAATCCTCATTTTTAATAGAATATACAAAATTGTAAATAAAGCCCATAACTGTGGCAGGAGGTCCCAAAGATGGCCACCAACACTGCATCCCTTTGTATTAAGTGCGTCGGAGGTACGCTCCATCAAGAGAAGGAGCCTGTCTGTACCCCTGCCCCCTGGAACCTGGCCCGTTGGATTTTTCTGACAGACTGAGGTGAGAGTGTTGCTCTGACAGCCCCAGCCTTAAGCCTTGTGAGAGCACAGCTGCAGTCCTTGCTGTCTTGAAACCTAGCTGCCATGCTGTGAGGGATCTACCCTGAAGGAAAAGACTGCATGAAGAGAACAGTGAAAAATGCACATAGAATAAAGAGGCACATAGTTCCCCTTTCCTTCAGATTGGATAAAGAGAAGTGATTGTTTGTACATCAAACATTTCAAAATCAACCTAGTAGTCCAGAATTGCACTTCCTGCAGCCCAGGTTACCAGACTTTCCTCCTGAGTGTCACAGCCTCTAAGGCCAAGGCCATCCCCGCTGCATCCTGTAAGCGGATCTCCTTGAACTAGAACAAGGAGGAGCCACACCCCACCCTACACCCACCCTAGCCACCTCCACACAGCTGTGTCCTATGGGTCTGGGTGGTTCTGAGAGAGCAGCAGGTTATCCAGGCTGCTCTGGTCACATTTTCTCCCCAGGAAGCCCCTGGCCTTAACATGAGCAAAGCCCTCTGGTACTGAAAGCTGTAATTGGCAGGCACAGAAGGTAGGAAGGGCTGAGGAGGTTTCCTGTAGGAACCTTGTATCTCATGCCTGATGTTTAAGTTGGAGACAGTGATATAGCCAAAATTGCTGACCCTCACAATCCTTAGACGAAGATGCTGTGATCATTGCTTACATGTGAAAAAACAAGCACAGAGAAGACAGATGCTTACCCAAGGCCACAAAGCTAGCAAGTAGTAGAGCCTTAGCTTTCTGCATCCAGAGCTTATAGTTTTAACAGCTTTAGGGGTGCCGCCCACTAATACCCTTTTTGCATTCATACGTCATACGACCACATTACTCAGCAAGTTGCAGCACTTGGATGCCCCTAAGAAACAGTCTGTTGATAACGGATGCCCTGGAAGACCCACCTGCCCCACCTCTCTGTCGGCAAGACCTAGCATTGAGTCACCAAATCCATTCACTGTAGTTGAGTACCTCCAAGGAACCTGTAAAGCACTCTGCTTCCTCTTCCCTACATTATTTTTTCCTGTTCTCTTCATTCTCCCACTTCTCTTTTCAATGACACACAAAAGATATTTGTGGAGCCCCTTCTACACAGCCCAGGGCTGAGGGCTGTCAGCTCAACAAGAATGAACCCAAAGTCATGATTGGGGGTGGAGTGGGGGGTGACAGACAAATACCAGCTCAAATAACTGAAATGTAAAGCAAACCCAAAACAAAAAATCCATAATCAGAACCTTGGAGAGAACCTAGTTGACTAGGAGTCTGGGCGTGTCTTCACCAGGGTGAAGGGCTCACCTTTCCTGATGTTCCCATGAACTCAATGGTAGAGATGACATGTGAGAAGGCTATTGTAATCTGCTTCAGCAGTTGGAGGCTTTGTGATTCCCATACAGCTGCAGCACAGCTTTTGTCTCCATCTAGTAATGCTGCACACCAGATCCCTGTGGATGAGCATGTGCCACCCTATCTATTCCCTGCGGGGTTCACCCAACAACACACAACAACCCCAGGAAGAGAAGGCTCACCACCAAAGAGCAGGAAGATACAGGAGATGAAAACCAGGACTGATTCCAGGTGGCACTGTGCTGGCAGCTGGGTTCCTTTCTGGAGCTAGGGGACCCCCATCTGAGGGCAGTGCCATGTATAGAGCAGCCAGATCTCGTGGTGGAGTGTCTGTTCCATTTCTGAGAATGGCATCTAGTTCTGGCTGGGAAGGTTTGTATTTTGATTTGCATAAAATTAAAAACCTAGGGCGTTGGCAACTACTAAAGGTGCTCTCAGGTGGCTTATGCAGTTTCCTGTAATTTGAGTTTAAATGATGAGTCACGGTGGGGAGGTGAGAGGAGGAGGATACTTATGTTCCAGAGGGCAAAGGGAATCAGATGGCAAAATTTAACACTACTCAGAAAAGCAGACTCGGAAGCCAAGATGGTCATCTGAACAGTGTGGATTTCTTATATGTGGCAGAAAGGCATAGTGGCCACCATTCTCATGGTTCATTCTGTGTTCATCATCTGTAGAGTCCACTCACTCTGAGCACAAGGTCCTGATGACCACCCGCAGCATGCTCTGTCTCCTTATGGTCTCAGTCCAGAGGATATTCTTGCTCAGATGCTTGCTTAGCAGTGATCATGCTGGTTGCTTAGTTCCTCCATAAGAGGCTATGAGGGGAGGGAAGGGAACCAAGTATCAGCCTTTGGGCTGTCAGGCCCCATTTTCCTGCCCTAAGATGTCAAAGACAGATGCAAATGCTGTCACCATCTCTACCTGTGGCCTCAGGAAACAATAGGCTTCCCCGGCCTCTCAGCTCAGTCAATCCAAGAGGGAGGGTTTGTGATAAAGGCATGACTTTGAGACTAAAACCATGGCAGAGAAAGGGTTATCCAGCAAATGTGTGCTGACCTTATGCAGGGACATTGCTTTCTCTGAGGGCAGTCCCTGCATGTCTCAAGGAGAGAATAAACAGGGCCCCCAAAAAACACCATCTGGGAATCCAAGAGGATGTATATTGATTGAGTTCAATAAATATTGATTGATTGATGGATGGATGGATGGATTGAATGAAAAGATGAATGATAGAAAAAATAAATATTATCGATTAAATGTCCTACATCACTGAATATGAGAAAATTTAAAGTTGGCCAACACTGTCACCTGTTGATGGATTCTACCTTCCCATTGTCTGGGGAACCTAATGTTTGTAACCTACAGGACAAGCCAACTAGAACACAACACATTATCTTGCTATCAAATCACCACCAAAGGAAGTCCAGGAACATTTCCTGAATAATGAGGCCCCTTGGAATAGTCTTGTCTCTTTAGTGAATTAATTAACAGTGATTTATTGGCAGTCCTGGACTCAAGGGACAGACTCTCCAGTTAAGGAGAAGAGAGATCTATCATAAATGATAGAAGAGATTCAATCAAGGTGGTAGACTGGGTATATGAAATAACCAAAAAGATTTATTTCAAAATCTGTTAAGTTGGGAAAAGACCCTTGTGTCTTAGTTCAGGCTGATATTAAAAAAAAAAAAAATGTACCATTAAACTGGACTACTTAAACACAAATTTATTTCTCACAGCTCTGGCAACTGGGAAGCCCAAGATCAAGGCACTGGCAGCTTTAGTGTCTTATGAGGACGTACTTCTCAGTTCAGTCTTTTCATTGTGTCCTCACAGAGCAGAAAGAATGAGAGACCTTTCTGTGGTCTTTTATAAGGGCACAACCCCATTTAGTTTGGGGGACTCCACTCACAGGACCTAATTGCCTCCCACAGGCTCCACACTAATATCTCCCAATATCATCTCACTGAGAGTT